ATCTGTGATTTGTGTTCTATTCTGAATAAAATATTAGATGTTGGCACCTCCACATCATTGCATTCAGTTTTTATTCACAATTTGTTTAGTGTCCCAACTTTTTTTGAATCCGGTTTGTAATTTTTGGACATTAATGGAGAAGTAGATGTGTGTCATCAAAATGTTAAGTTTTTATTAGATTATTTTTTTTAATTGTTGACTGTTTTTTTATTTTTTTAAACCCAAATCAACAACATCGGACCACTATCAGAGAACTGGAAGAGCCTACAGGTGAACACCTCCCACGCACTGAAGTGCTGCATCATCACAAGGTGCACGAAGCTTCACTTGGCACAGACAGGCAGAGCGTCTCCAAACTGCTTTCTTCCTTCCCACCTGCTGATGCCGTCATCCCCAAACTGTTGTCGCTGTCCGCTAGCATCAGTGTAAAATCCTCCTCGTTCTCTTCTATTTGGATTTGAATGTTTAACTTAAAAAAGCAACTACAAAAAAAAAAAACACCAGTCACTTCTACTCAACCTCCTAAAGGTCTCCTCCGCCTTTTTTATTCTCTTGACTAACCCCTCCCTGCAAATCAACACAGTGCCCCTCAGACCTCCCCACACAAAGCCCCCAAAGCAACACAGAAATCATAGCGCACTATTCAATCATTGTTTTTTACCCTCTCTCACCCCTTTTATGGTCCCACTAAAGGTTTTAACTGGGCAGAGAAGGAGGGCTGTCACTGAGGAAACCTTAGCCCATTGATGAAGTGACAGGAGCTGCCAGAATATGATCCTAATCCTGTTTCCAGCATTCTTTTAGCCTGCTGGCATCGCAATTCCTCCACACATTCTCTGAGCTGTCAACTAGGAAAATCCCTCTAATAGTGCATTGCCCAGATACACATCAAAGAGCTCTTGGAAACCTTCAGCGGCTTAGCTACCATAGACACACACACACACACATTAACACACCGTTCCCATTAACTCACAACTCTGTGGGCTTCACTAACAAACAGAACCAAGATGTTCACGACAAATTGACCACACGTTTAAGAAAAATGTCGGAGAATTAGCAAAAGGGTGCAGATAAAAATGATCAGTGCATCCCCTAATTTAGTTTTATGCCTATATTTAATCTACCCATCCTTCTTGTCTTGTTTAGAAAATATTATTTTTATGGATAAATTAAAAAAAAACGTAGGTGTCTGAACTTTGCTGACTCCAGAAGCTCTTTCAGTGCTATTTTATCTCATTCTATTCTTACTTAATCCATCGATATCCCAACCAAAAGTAATCTTCTTATGGCGAGGCATTCTGTTTCGGTGCAGCCAAACCTCGGCTGACAGGGGTGGGGGGGTGGCGGGGGGGAGAGATCTGCAGACTCTTTAGAACCTGACACTCTGCTTCAGTCATTTCATGTAGGATTAGTTCTTCTGCTGCGGGTGAACAAGTGGCAGGTTCTCTGCTGCGCGGTGTGTAAACCTCAGCCCTGAGCACGGTGGACCCCCTGCATCTAAATTATTTATGGATCATCGAGGCGTCTTCAGTCAAAATGTAGGAAACTGAAGGAAATTCTCACCACAAAAGGTCCAGTCCGAACTGTTTAACGTCACTCCGGCTGACAGGAAGTTGGATTCGGTGCATCTTTTCTCCGCTTCGTTGCCAACTTTTACCAGTTTTCCAACACGTTGATTAAATGTTCTGCTGCGTGATCAGGCTTGATAAATACCTTCCCTGGTCTTCCTCTGAATCAGCGTTCAAACCAAAGTTGTAAGAACACACACACATCCACATTAAACCTAATCCTTAACATTTTTTTTAGAATGTGGAAAAAACTGTTTTTTCACCCATCAGTGTAACGCACTGATGAATTGTGATCTGGTCCAACGGGTGAAAATTGAAGCAAAGACACAGTGAAGATAAGTTATTCTTGATTTATTCTCTTACACTGAACGGATAAATTACTCATATTTTTAAACAACTGAGAAATACACATTTGTTTCTACACGTACATACAGTGTGCGTCGTCCTGCTGAAGCCGCTGGCTCAAGAGAAGAGCTCAGAAAATAGACGTCAGCTGGCCTCTTACACAGATTTCCCCTGCGATTTGTTTCTGTTGGGAGTTTCTTGGCATAAAAGAAATTGAATATTCCCTTTTAGAATCATTTTGTATAAAAGCAGACTCTGAAACGCTTGTGGAGGTGAACGCTGGATGATATTTACAATATGCCACGGATTCTTCCACTCTAAACTGGTATTTAAAACTTGGAACAAGCAGATTTTTTTTTTTTTTTTAGATTGATTCAGACCTTTCAGTACTGCTGCCAGCTGTGCTTGTCTTTAGAAGGACCTTCAGAATCATAGATGTTTGCTGAAAGGAGTCAGACGGAGACTTCTTCATGTCTGATGCCATTATGGAGGTCATTAAAAAGCATCATCCACAGGTGAACACTTACAACTGCAGCTCAGGTTGGTTTTTGTTTGCTTATCCGTTAACTTTATTTTTTGTGTTATTTTTTTATACGGTAAAAGGCCTTGAATGATGGCGACGCAGAGAGGAATGTTGAAAATCCATACGGAGGCAGCTCCTCCGAATCCACTCAGTGAGTTAGTTTTTTTTTTATGAACATGTTGATTTGAACTTTACAAACTGGATGTAAAGTGATCTCAGTGATAAAATCAGTCATATGGACACGTTAAAGTCGGGGAGTCTTTTGAAGAAATCTGGTATATATATTTTTAGAGTTGTGTCACTTCAGCCTCTGCCCTGACGGTGAAACATGGCCGCTGAGCAGCATCAGTTGGGGAGCGTGTCCAACCCCAGCGAGGCCGCATGCTGCTTGGCCCTCAGACGGAGGTTCTCGATGCTGGTGGTCTTGCTGTTGAGGCTCCCGGGGAGGCCACCTGGAGCCGCCTGCAGTAGCGGGCTGCTCCACACCTGCTGGGCCTGCGACAAGTTCTGGTAGTAGGACTGGCAGGGCAGCGAGCCCAGAGGGGAGGGCATGTTCATGCCGAGGTAGGGCAGGGAGGACGGCGCGCTCATGTCGAAGGAAGGGTAGTGGACGAGGTTGTTCGTGGCTGCCATGTGCTGCCGAAACTGCTCCTGCAGCCGGAAGAGGCTGAGGGGGGACGAGGCGTAGGAGTTGCTCTGAGCCAAACCGCTTGTTACGCTGCTGGAGGAGGCCAGAGCAGGAGAGCCCAACGGGGAGTCTGACCAAGAGAAGGACGAGAACTTTAGTTTTACTGCACACGATCACAACGTACCTGCATTGATTGAACAGGTTCTTTTACCTGACGAGGGACTGAGTGGTTTGCAGGATGGAGAGCTGCTCCCTGCTTGTGCTGCCCGCTCCCCCGGCGTCTCCTCCCCGAGTTTCACCCTGGACTCCCCACTCACGTCGTCCTCCTCTCTGTCGGCGTTGTCTTCTGCTGCAGACTCGCTGTCCGACGGCTCTGGAGAGGTGACGTTCACTTCCACGCTCATCTCAGCAGGCTGGGGCCTAGAGGCAGCCAGCCGCTCCGGCTCCGAGTGACAAGAGGAGGAGCTGGAAGGAGGAGGAGGAGTCCGGGCCTCAGGAACCACCGTGGTGCTGGTTGTGAGGTCCGTTTTGGAGTCCTCGAGAGAGGCCTCGGTAGCTCCGGATGCTTCTTTTTGCTTCTGCAGCTGCTCCTTCTGGAGGCTGCGCTGCTTCTTACGGAACTTGGCCCGACGGTTCTTGAACCAAACCTGAAAGATTGATGTCTTTACAACAGCTGCAGACGACACGTGCACACTGCTCACAGTCTTCTACCCTAACATTGTCACATTTATCCACTTTCTGGGCTTCAGGACGAGCAGCTCAGAGGCTAACAGATAAGAAGAGCATTCCAAGTTATTATTCTTTACCTGCACACGGGCTTCGGGCAGGTTGGTGCACATGGCCAGGCGTTCTCGCATCACCACGTCGGGGTAGTGGGTCTTCTGGAAGGTTTTCTCCAGAGCCTCCAGCTGCTGAGCAGTGAACGCTGTCCGGCTGCGCCTCTGCTTTCGGTGCTGGGAACCATACCGGGCCTCGAGGATAATGTCTTGAAATGTACAACCGTTGAGAAATAAAAGAACACGACCAGTTTAATTCAAGGGACAGGTCAAAGGTCACCTCCTGGTGATGAAACAGTTGAAGCTGGTGAAGCAGAGGGGATGCTACGTGAGTATCTGTTTCTTACCAGCCAGCCTCTCTGCCAGCGTGAGCGCGTGCACTGAGGGCCTGTAGTCAGGCGCGTGCTGCGCCTGCTGCGCTGCCTGCTGGTGCAGGTTGTACATGGCGCTCAGAGAGTTCATGGCGTGGAGAGAATACCCGTTCACCCCGTAGTGCTGCATGGCCGGCCTGCTGTCTGCAGAGAGGACGGCAGGGGGTTAGGTGTTGGACAACTTTCCCAAACATCATTTCTACAGGTCCATGCAAAAATAAAATGTGTTATTATTATTATTATTAATATTATTAATAATAATAATAATAATAATTATTATTATTATTATTATTATTATTATTATTATTATAATAAACAGGACAAAGGGAAATAGAAGCAAGTTAAATTTTGCCTGTCAGAATTAATGACTGAAATGTGCATAATTATTTTAAATGTGTTTAGATCTAATCATTCATGTTATTTTATTTCATTTGAAAAATCCGTGAACAGAAAATAAACCTCCAACACACTTTTATTGAAACTACAACAAAACGAACAAATGAAGAGCTGCTGAAATTACTGACAAGGAAGCTTTTAAAGAAAAAGTTAATCATATTTTTATGCTTAAAACAGCATAATTATGGAATATTTGTATTTGTATAAAGCTTGTTGGGAAAAAAGTCAAATAACTGGTCATATTTTAACAATCATAATTGTACAATTGTGCCTTTTAAATAAATACATTTTAATGACTTGCAATTATTATTATTATTATTATTATTATTATTATTATTATTATTATTATTCCTTGTATATTTTTTTTCCATATAGTTGTATTACATTACCTTAAATGAAAATTTGAAATAGTGTTTAGTTTGTAATGAAACATTTATTCTGTCCTGGGGACCGGGCGCTGGTCTCGGTCTGCGGCGGGTCCAGCTCTGACGCCTGCAGGCATGACGGAGGCGCGTGACAGGTCGTCAGTGAAATGTGCGCGCGGGATTCCCAATTGGGCTCGCTCTCCTTCATCGTGCTGCAAATGTGCTCCAAGGCTGTTAATTTATCAGGCCTGACGCGTGGAAGGTGGCCTCCGTGTGCGCGCGCGTGCCTCAGGAATCAGGGCTATCGTTTGTATTGTACCTAAAAATGTATCGATGATGATCTGAGGTTAAATGTGAGGTTTTAAAATCTAAAATAATCGTTCAAATTGTAGGAAGCCTCGGCTCAAATTTAAGGACCCGGTGAGAGCAGGAACAAACTCACAAGATTTAAACATCACGGATAAATAATAATAATAATAATAAAATACACAAATATATGTCATGATTCAGCCTCATCTTACACGCAAAAAAGTTTGAGTTGCACTGTTACAAAACTAAACCAATATTAATAATTTAATAAATATGATGTGTTCAGGGGACCACTGTTTGTTTTCTAATTTTAAACAAACAGCACGTGGAAACCCTAAAAGTTAGTCTTAAACTGAATCCAGCAAACTTTCTTACCTCTGTCCGCTGAAGATTGTCCTCCACGAGCCCCTGTAGTCACTTCCTGTCTACAGTCCGCCGCTCATCTTTGATGTTTTTAATTCTTATTTCTGATTCTTCTTCTACCTCGGCTGTGTGTTCATGTTGTGGGGAGTATTCCTCTGTCCGCGGCTCTTCTCTGTCTGTGGAGGTGGGGGCGGGGGGGCTGCCATCCACGCGCCTTTAAAGCGCTCCAGGTGGGGGGGCGGCCAGGGGACTCCGAATTTGAACCAATCAGGTGTCTCCTCCTCCCCCTCCTCACTGTGCGCGAGCTGCATCTGGAAATCTAACATTTTATCACCTGCGTTAATAAAAATAAAACATTTCTTTTCGTTCTGTTCTTCAGCTGCTGCTCCTCATTCTTCAACTTTCTGCTCACGCGTGTTTCATCAGATCACCTTTCATTTGATTTTAAATTAGAAGTCACCTGGTTGCCAAGCAGTGTCCCCCAGGAGCATTTAATCTGAAAACTCACAGAACGCAGCTTTAATTTCAGATTAATAGAAAGAAAAGCAGCGCTGGCCTTTCTCAGAGGGACCTGCGGGTTCAATCCGTGATTTAAATCTTGTGGTTTTCTTGTTCTTCTGCAGCTGGAGGAGGATGAGGATGCTGCAGGGCCGCTCTGCCTCTAAGCACGCCCCCCCCCCCCCCACCCACCCAAGCCCCTAGGGGATTTGGGCGAGGACTGGGGAGACAAGACGCCATTTCACCCTCCAAAAATGTCTTCAAATGACTGCTGGTAAGAGGATTAAAACAATAATGCACCCCCCCCCCCTTTTTTTTTTCTTTCTTCGAGGTTTTTAAGAAAAGATTCCTTCTTGCGAGGAAAAACCGTTTAGGCTGGAATTAAGAGCAGTGAAAGTAGCCCTTTAATGTAAAATAAAATAATAATAAAAAAGCTAGCATATTTTGTTTGAATTTATGAAAATAAAAGGTGTGGTGCTGATGGGGGGGGGGGGGGGGTGTCTGTGCTCATATTCAACCCCTCCTGAAATAATTGTGTATAAAATATAAAAACTGCCCTTGCTGCCATGATCTCGGTGTTTAATCGAACGTTAAGTTCAGTTCTTCTTGGTTTGAGTGGTGATGACATGAAGCAACAAGTGATGCTTATAAATAAATAAGCGATATTTATTTCCCTCTTCCCCTTGATGGTGCTTTCTCTCTCGTTCTCCTTGTTGCTGCTGCAGAGCGTTTGAGTCTAAAGGAGAAAAAAAGAAAGAAAATGGGATTAACTTGTGAACCGATGAAGAACTTAAACTGGAGGTAAATCTGTCTCTAAAGCAATTAAAGCGAGGAGGAATTCCTCTCAGCAGCTCTTCCTTAAATCAGCTTTTTTTAAAGCAACGTAATGAGTCTAATGTCCAGCAGGACTGCAGGGGGGGGGGGGGGGGGGGGTGTCTTGATGGGCCGGTGGTGCCTGAGCAGCATCCTCTCATGGCCCTGCAGGGATGCTACAGACAGATTCTCTAACATGACTTTCATAAATCGGCACACTTCAGTTCAGACACAGCACAAATTAAAATTGTAAAAGAAAAAAAAAAACATTAATAAATTAGTTACCCACCAATATCAATCAATCTTTATTTATACAGTATGCATCTTTATGTCTTCTATCTGATCATACGATGATGTAGGAAGTTATGTGAACATGTGGCTCTTCATTATTGTTTATAAATCGGATGATAGCTGCTGCAGAAGGTAACACTGACAGCACCAGCTTCAAATAATTCTTTTCAAGTCAGTCTTTGTGATGCACTGGACACAAGTCCTCTTTTCTGTAATCATTGATAAAATTATGATTCTCACACTTTAGGCCAATATGAACAATGCTTTTATTGTTTATTGTATTAAAGGAAATCTTAACATAAATGTGCTGAGCATGTAATTTGGTTTTACTGTGGCATTAAAAGAGCTGAGGGATTCTGAAGATGTACAGCAGCGCAGCAAAGTTTCAGTCTCAGTTTGAATAAATATGAGGCCATAAATCTGATAAGTACCGTATTTAATAAGCTGTCGTCTTTAAATTGTTCAAAAATAACAATAATGTCCTAGGAAATGACAGTGGCATTGTAAAATGTTGTTTTGTTTATCACTAAAATAATGAAAATCCAGAGTGATAAACATCTACAGTATTCAAATTTGACTTTGCTGACAGCATTTCGTTATTTATTTGTTTATTTTCATTTTGAAGGATCTCTGGGCTGCTCACCCCAGGATAAATCTTCAAACTTCATATTCATAAGGATAAGGTTTCCTTACTGTCATTCTCATCACATGTGGTACATGTGGTGGAATAAAAATGTGTACACAGAGTCCCAGTTACATCCAACAAAAGTATAAAATGTAAAGACAAACAGTAATAAGATCTAAGAAATGAACTAAGAAAAACATGAACTAAAAATATACTAAACACTAGTAGTATAAAACAATACGCAGAACAGCAGCATGAACATGAATCCGTGTGAGCAGATGAGTACGAATGAACACAACAGCGTGCAATAAATCAGCAGCATGAGATCAGCAGCATGGATAATCAGCAGCACATATCAACAATCAATGACAGTGATTTTTTTTTTAACTCACTGTCATTATCCTGATTGGAGATTCATGAATCTAACAGCGGCAGCACGGTGGTGCAACTGATAGAGCTGCTGCCTCTCAGCGAGCAGGTCCCTGGTTCAAACCCCGGTCCAGGGGCCTTTCTGGGTGGAGTTTGCATGTTCTCTCCATGCATGCGTGGGTTTTCTCCGGGTACTCCTGTTTCCTCCCACAGACCAAAAACATGCATGTTAGGCTGATTGGTAACTCTAAATTGTCCCTAGGTGTGAGTGAGAGAGTGAATGGTTGTTTGTCTCGTGTGTCTCTATGTGTCCCTGTGATGGACTTGCGACCTGTCCAGGGTGTACCCCGCCCCTCGCACAGTGATTGCTGGACATGGGCACCAGCGACCCCCGTGACCCAAAATGGAACAAGCGGGTAAAGATAATGAATGGATGGAATCTAACAGCTTAAGGGTAAAAGATGTTCCTCAGTCTCTACAGTCAATGCTCCTCAACCTCCTGCCTGAAGGGAGCAGGGCAAAAGCTGTGTGTGCTGGATGAGTTGGGTCCTTCATGATGCAGGTGGCCCCATGATGGAGGCTGACTCCAACATACTTCTGTGCAGCCTTCACCACTCTCTGCAAATTCATTCATGCATGCATTCATGTCAAGTTTCTGTGGATTTTGTTGATATTCTATTGTTCTCAGCATTCTAAGATTGATCTTGTCTCCTCAAATCTGAGTTCACACCGTCCCGCTCAGTCATCCGTCCCACCTGAAAACTTCTGTCCGTCATCTTACAGTACGAATCTGATGCTCAGGCGAGGACGCTGCAGTCATTTATAAATCATCTGTATTTAGGTTTAACATGCATAGGAATGTGTAGTTTTACCCCAGAAAATTAATTTTAAAGCTATGTTTTATATCAGCTCCATCAGAATATTATTCTGAATAAGAATAAGAAGGCCGCGCTAATTATTTATAGCCGCAGCTTCGTGCACTCTGCCCATCTTCGGACGACTGTACGTACATATTCGCATTGTATCTCGGGGCAATGCCAATAAAGTTTATTCTGATTCTGATTCTGAGAAAGTTGATGCAATCTGCCTCTTGAGCTCATTAACTTTTATCATTAAGTTAACTTTTTGAAATCACGGGGCTTTAAAGCAGCTGCCGTGGCTGCCACGTGCTCTTAGTCAAGGTTAGCTTGTGCTCATTTGGGTGGCATTAATCATTTTGATGCATTGCTCAGAAGTGACTGCTTCAATGGGACTTGTGTGACTGGAGTAACAAAGCAACTGGAGTGCTCTGGCTGTGCATTAGTGGGACGTTCACCTTAAAGACAGTCCTCAATGTGTTGGACTCCTGATTCTAAATAGATCCACAGTCCTCTCACATCTCACCCGTGTGTCACTCATTTATACGGCCTACATGTTTAATGTGTGTTAAATACCAACAAAATAAAAACAGTGTCTCAAAAAACAGCTTAAAATCTTATAAAACAGGTTTGTTAAGTCAATATACAAAGCTCTTTAAAAATGAGAATTAAAACAGAAGGAATATGATTTTCTTACCTATTGTAGAAATCTTTGAAAGGTCTCATATTGGAGAAAAGTAGTTTAATTATGCAGATTGATAAGGTTAGTTGAAGCAAGTGAGCTGATGTCAAGATAAAATCCACCTCATCTTATAATCTAAACATTAAGTTGACTGTTTAGTTCTGAACACAAGTATGCAGGTGATAAGATGAAGCAGTTTCATTTGATGGCAATCCATGAAACAGAACTGGGAGTAGAAATGTGTCATTGCATTAATGATTGGTGGTGGAACTGCTGACCATAAAGAAAAGCAAACCAAGGTTTGATTTAATCAGGTCAGGCAAATTTGGATTCCACTTGAAAAACAAATTAAATATGCTGAATAAGGCATAAAATAAATGGTGTTAACACGTTAAATGAAGGCTTTAAAGGGTATGGTCTCAGATGGTTGGCGGTTCCGTCTCAAGTCTCTTCTTGTCACCGCGCAGTAACTCACTGGATATTTCTGATTAGCATAGAGAAAAAACTGTCATTCAAATGTAAATTATTCTTGTTTCGTTTAGAAGGTTTGACAAAAAACAATTAATTTTATGAGTTAATATCAGCATTTGAGTGAACAAAGCAGTTCTTACTAACTTTAAGTGTCAATACGATGAGGTTTAGAGGTTAGCTCAGGGCTAACCTCTGAGCTACACACATCCTCAGGGCTGTGTGTTGAGCCCCCTCCTGTTCACTCTGCTCACATATGACTTCACACCTACCCATGCTATCATATTGTAAAGTTTGCAGATTATACAGAAGTGGTTAGATGTATCACAAAGAACGATGAGTCCAGCTACAGGTGGGAGGTGGAACACCTGGAAAGCTGGAGCAGGAAGAACAACCTCCTGTGAAGAAGACGAAGGAGATGGTCGTGGATTTCAGAAGGAGCAAACACACCTACCCCCCTTGAACATAGGAGGATTTATGATGGAAGTGGTCTCCAGCTACAAGTACTTGGGTGTGCACCTGAATGACAACCTCAGCTGGAGCAACAACACCACCAGCCTGATCAAAAAACCTCATCAGAGAC